TAACAAACCAAACTGGTCTGCAGTACCGCACATTCTATATTTTTAGTTTGTTATTTAAAATTATGTCATTCTTTTTCATTCTCTTCTCACCAATTTTTTTTCATAAAAAATGGTCTTTTCTCATAGGCTCACTCTTTTATTATTAATAAAAATAAAAACATTTTCAATTTACTAAATAACTTTTTAAACTAATATAAGTATAATAAAAACATTTCATTAAAATTTAAAATTTTAAAAGTCTCATAAAATAATTAAAACATAACAATAATTACAAATTCAAAAAATAGAAATTATGATTTTTTTTTTCTATTTTCAACTTTTATGGTCAAAAGTTTGCGGTGTGGCTGGTTTGGCCGTTTTCCACCACAATTTTGATCGTAGGGAGCTCGAGGTTGGGAAGAGGCGTAGCCGGGGTGAAGCACAGTCGGCGATGTCACAACTGACAAAATTAGGTTAAGATTTGAATTCCTGAACAATATAATCTCGTTGTATAAGCCCAAAAACTTGATCCAATAACCTTCCTAGAACAATTGTGGGCCGAAAACTTCTTTTGGCCAAGTTAAGTTCGAAGCCCATTACTCTTTTAGGACATCATGTGGGCCGAGAACCACTCTAAACTTGGTTAGCCCACTTAAAAAAAAGAGAAAAGGGTGAAAGTTGTTGTTGTAGGAGAACTCTGTCACGGGTAGGTAGGAGTCCCATTTCCCACCGAAATCAATAACGCAAGCTCTCAGCATATCCTCGAGGGTCTGTATAGTCCGCTCACTCTGACCGTCAGTCTGCGGATGATAAGTTGTGCTGAAATGCAGCCGCGTGCCCAGTTCCTCATGGAACTTCTGCCCGAAACAGGAGGTGAACCGAACATCACAGTCTGACACGATAGAGACCGGAACTCCATGGCGAGCAACGATCTCGCGGATATACACGTCGGCCAACCTCTCGGCCGATGAGCTCTCCCGAATGGGCAGAAAATGGGAACTCTTGGTCAGTCGATCCACGACGACCCATATAGCATCATATCCCTTTGCCGTCCTCGGCAGCTTGGTGATAAAATCCATCGTGATCTACTCCCATTTCCATATGGGAATCTCCAGAGGTTGCAGCTTGCCATGCGGCCTCTGGTGCTCAGCCTTGACCATCCTGCAAGTCAAGCATCTCTCGACGTACCAAGCAATCTCCATCTACATGCATGGACACTAGTAGCTCAAACTCAGATCCCGATACATCTTGGTGGCCCCCGGGTGAATAGATAAGCGAGACTTATGAGCCTCCTCCAGTACAATCTGTCTGACCCTACCAGACATCGGAACCTAGACCCAACCGCAACGGGTCAACAATCCCCGACTATCCGGTACGAATCTGATGATCTCGCCCCTAATCCTCTCAAGCTTCCAGTTCTCCTGTAGTACACCCTCAGCCTGAGCTTCCCTGATCAATCTCACAAGTGGAGAATCCACTGATATCCTCATACATGTCGCTGGAGTAGAAGATCCAGCCGACTTGCGGCTTAGGGCGTCCGCCACAACGTTTGCTTCACCCGGATGGTAAAGGATCTTGCAGTCATAATCATTGACTACGTCCAGCCACCTGCATTGCCTCATGTTCAGGTTCGGCTGATCCATGATGTGTCTCAAACTGTTGTGGTCCGTGTATATGGTACAGCGGACCCCGTAGAGGTAATGTCTCCAAATCTTGACAGCGAACACCACCGCTCCTAACTCCAAATCGTGCGTGGGGTATCTCGTCTCATGCAGCTTCAACTGCCGCGACGCGGAAGCGATCACTCGTCCTCTCTGCATGAGGACCACTTCCAGTCCCGTGATGGATGCATCACAGAACACTACAAAATCCTCAACTCCCTCCGGGAGAGTCAAGACTGGAGCCTCGCAAAGTCGCTGTCTGTGGGTCTCAAATGCCCTCTGTTGCTCAGGGCCCCACCGAAAATCCACCCCCCTTCCTCGTCAGACGAGTGACGGGTACTGCAATCTTGGAGAAATCTTGTATAAATCTCTGGTAGTACCCTGTCAATCCCAAGAAGCTCCTGATATCCGAGGGAGATTTCGGAACCTCCCACTGCATAACGGCCTCGATCTTGGCCGGATCGACCAAAATCTCCTCCTGGTTAACGAGATGTATAAGGAACTGAACCTCTCGTAACCAAAACTCACACTTCGAGAACTTGGCATAAAGCCGTTCTCGTCTCAAGACTCCCAATAGCACCCGAATATGCTCCTCGTGCTGCTCTCTGGTCTTGGAATACACCAAGATGCCATCTATAAACACAATGATTGAGCGATCGAGCATCGGTCTGCATACCTGATTCATCAGGTCCATAAATATATAGTTGGCGCGTTGGTGAGCCCAAACGGCATCACCACGAACTCGTAGTGCCCATAACGAGTCCAGAACGCGGTCTTCTCCACGTCCTCCTCCCGTACCTTGACCTGATGGTACCCTGATCTCAAATCTATCTTGGAGAACCAAGATGCTCCCTGTAGCTGATCAAAGAGATCATCGATCCGTGGTAGTGGATAACGGTTCTTCACCGTCAACTTGTTCAACTCCCGGTAGTCAATGCACATCCGGTGTGAACCATCCTTCTTCTTCACGAAGAGGATCGGTGCTCCCCACATAGAACTGCTCGGACGAATGAACTGCTTGCCTAGCAGCTCCTACAGCTAAGATGACAGCTCCTGCATCTCAGGTGGTTCCAATCGGTACGGCGCCTTGGCGATAGGGGTCGTACCTGGCACAAGGTCGATCCTGAACTCGACCTGCCTCTCCGGAGGCACTCCGGGTAACTCCTCCAGAAACACGTCAGCGAACTCCCTGACGACTGGAACCTATGAAAGCGAGACCTGATCCCTGACTCGCGTATCTACCACATACGTTAAAGAACCTGCACACCCGTGATGAATATACTGCCGAGCCCTGGCGGCTGAACAAAATCCTGAACCCAACCTGGTGCCCTCGTCGTAGATAACCAGTTCTCCCCCACTTGGGGTTCGAACTACCACTCGCTGGCCCTCGCAGTCAATCATGGAACCGAAACGACTCAACCAGTCCATACCCACTATCACACAAACTTCCCCCATGGGAATCGGAATCAAGTCTATCGGAAAGCATACCCCGAAGATCTCCAGAATGCAACCTCGATAGACAGAAAGAAGCAGAAATCCCGTGTTCGTTGGCGATGGAGACTCGCAGCGGACACTCAAGCTCTCCTACAGACAAACCGAACTCCTTACTGAACGACCGAGAGACAAAAGACCGACTCGCCCCGGAGTCAAATAATTCCAACGCATGTAAGGAGTTCACTAAGAACGTACCTAATATAGGTACAAACACATAAGCATAAAACAAATATAATCAGTAAGATAAAGGATAGAAACATACCAGCAACCACATCAGGTGCTATCCTGGCCTCCTCGTCTGTAAGCTGAAAGGCGTGTCCCCGAGCCTTCGGAGGCTCTGCTCTACCCTGACCCCCGTCAGTAATCCTCAGTGTAGTCGACGCTAGAGCCTGCGTCGGCCTGGCAGCGAGCACTGGACAGTTGGTCTTCACGTGACAAACCTGATTACAGTGGTAGCAAATCCTCACATCCTGAACCGGGGCTGACTGGCGGCAATCCCTCGCAAAGTGCCCCTCCTTGCCGCACTTGCGGCACCCACTACCTGATCGACAAACCCCCGAATGACCATTCCCGCACTTGCCACAAGTGCGGCCACGCTGGCCCCCAAACCTAGAATCAACGGTCTTAGACCGCTTTGGCGCCGGCCGTGACTGCGTCAGGGCCTGCCGCTGCTCTCTCAACTGTAGCTCAATCTCCACCACCACTTAGTTTAATAAAGCTAAATTAAAGCATTTAAGGCTTCCAATGTCCATACTGCCCTTATCCTTGGTATTTAAGGTCTTTTTCCACGATATCCATGTAATCTTCTTCATATGACAGTGACCACCCCAAAAGAAACGGCTTCTGATTCTTTCAAGTTTGCCAAGGATTTTTGTTGGAACACTATAAATAGAAAATAAATATGAGCCGAGAGACCCCAAGACTGCCTTACAAAAAGTCAACATACCCCTGAAAGACAGGTTGTGAGCTTTCTATTCTGATAACTTGCTCTAGAATCTGTCCACAATTGGCAGCCAACTAGAGGTTCTGGTCATACTTCCTCTTATTGTTATACCCAGATGTTTAAAAGGAAGAGAGCTTCCTTCACACTTCAGCCAGTCGGCCATATTTAAAATTTCCAAAGAATTCACCCCGACACCAAGCACCTTGCATTTTTTCAGGTTGATTTTGAGATCTGAGGAAATATAGAAGCATGTAAGCATTCTCATCAAGTTTCTGGCGTTTTGCAAAGACTGTTTGCCGATGAAAATGGCGTCATCTGCATATTGAAAAATGGATAGGTTTGGCCCATATCTAGGTAAGTTCACGCCCTTAAAAACTCCTTTCTCCAAAGCTTCTGTCATAGCAACACGGAGCCCTTCTGCTGCTATGATGAAGAGGAAAGAGGATAGGGGGTCCCCTTGCCTTACCCCTTTCTTCATGTGAAATTCTTTCATAGGTACTCCGTTAACTAAGATATAAACTTTCGTTGTGGAAATTAGAACCCGAACCCAAGATCTCCAGGTATCCCCGAATCCCATCTGTGGCATCACATCATCTAAGTAGTTCTAATACTGAAATTTCAAAAGATAAAAAAATTCTAGAATATAATATTTTGAAATTTTTTATATAAATATTAATAAAATCTTGAAATTTCATATAAAAAATCAATTTATTTTTGACTTAGCTTGTCACTTTGTAAATTGTCAACCAGATTCAATAGTTTACATCCTCCGTACATTCCCTGATGTTTCATATACACATACACAGAAACACACACACATATATTATATATATATATATATATATATATATATATATATATATATATATAATATATATATATATATATATATATATATATATATATATATATATATATATATAACATGACTAACTTTCCTTCCAAGTGTTTAGTTGTACAACAGAAGAACGAGAGAGAAATCTTGGTTGATAAATTTACATGGCAGAAGAATTTCAGGGGGAGGTCTGCGGCGGAAGCTGGTGGAGTTCACCAAGAACCACCACCTTCATCGGCTCATCATATATGAGCAATTATGGAGGGTGCTGGCCGCAAAGTGATATAATGAACATGAAAACAAGGTCAACTGACGAGTCTTCAGGTGGTCGAACCACCACTATCTCGCCGGATTCAGCCTTTCAGATGATGGGTTCGCCACCGTCTACAACCACCAATTGGAATCAAGCTTTATTAGTGTAAGCATACGATAGCTTTTGGTTATCTTTTACTTTGTTTTTTCAATTATTGGTTCAACTTTAAATTCCACTCACTCTAAGAAATGGACCATAGACTTCTTTTGTAATTATATGAAGCAGAAAAAGAATCTGATGATCATTCCATTGAAAATTTTCATTAGTAATGGAAGAAGTGAAGAGAGTTACAGTCAAACCCTACCAGGAATCATGAACAACCTACCGTCCGGCGGCCAAGATTCATCAAATTTCGGTATGGACGAACAACAGCCTTCAAACTTTATCACAAGCTCCAGCGATAGCAACGGAAACTTGGGTGGTACTTCATATGGTTACCCATCAAGTTTACTTCAAACTTTATTCCATAACACTTCACCACCGCCGCCGGTAGCTCCGTCGCAGCAACACCTTTACGATTTTCAATCGAATTTAGATGATTATAATTCGGTTTCAAGCATGCCCGGATTCTCTTCTTCTGTAAAGTCAAAACAACAGGCTCTTGGAGGTTTACACTTAGCCAACAAGACCCCCTTCTGGAACGCCTCAACGTTACATTTAAACCATAATCGTGCAGGATTTTTCACTTCAACGCAGTCTCCGTTTCTCTCATCGACATATGAAGAGAAACCCATTTTCCCTAACAACAAGGTAACGGAAAAGATAACTTTTTTTTACTTGCATACACTCATGCACATCAAGATTAGGGTTTCATCAACAACTTCGTTTTAAATGCTCAATTTAGTCTCAAAATGAAGAAATTCGGGATTTGGGATCATCTGTAAAGACAAGCTCCGGTGAACCTACATTCAAGCGACCTCGTCTTGAAACACCATCACCATTGCCAACTTTTAAGGTATACATTGCTTAATTTTTAATGAAATTTTCATTAAATCTTTTAAAGAATTTAGTTGAATACCCATAAATACATAGTTACAAACCCTAAGGGTATCGTTTTTCAGGTTCGAAAAGAGAAGCTAGGGGATCGAGTAACTGCGCTCCAACAACTAGTTTCACCTTTCGGAAAGGTATTCATGATCTTAGTGTTCTTTTCGACATTATTAATTCCGTTCAAATACTCAATCTTTTCGTAACTTATGGTGATCAATTAAATTTAAAACTTACAGACTGATACAGCATCGGTTCTCCATGAAGCAATCGAGTACATTAAGCTCCTTCACGATCAAGTCAATGTATGTTTATATTGGTATAAATTTCTAAATATAATATCTTATAATACATCATGTTTATTTGTTTCATTACATACTTCAGGTTCGAAGTGCTCCCTATATGAAAAATGGCGCTACTATGCAACGTCAACAAGTAAGATACGCAGACACATAGCTGATTTATTAGAATCTTTAGTTCGTTTTTTCCAAAAGTTAATTATAACGTAAATCGTTTACACTAGCTTAAATCTCATCTACAGATTCACGACAACGTTAAAACCATTATGGAAGATAAACAACAAGACTTAAGGAGCCGTGGACTTTGCCTTGTGCCAGTATCGAGTACCTTCCCAGTTACTACTGAAGCCGCAACCGATTACTGGACATCAAGCTTCGGTACCACATTCAGATAGAGGTGACGAAAAAGTCAAAAATACTCAAACCCTCGAAAACTGATTTCTTTTTGTAAACATAACATAAGTTCATGCCCATTGGTTTGTTTTTCACAAAAAAAACAAGGTTAAGTTCTTAAGCTTTTATGTTATTTTGATTAAAACAAATTAATCAAAATAGCAAGAAAGCTTGAAATTTATATTTATATTTATATATATAATTTAGAGAGAAATATGAGCCACATATTGGAGTAGTGTAGTAGAAGTACAATGAAGAAAAGTTAGAAAAGGAAAGGAAAAAAAAGGAGGATATTAAAAAAGAAGCTACAAAGTGACCCTTGAAGGAAGGACAACCAATGCCAGTTTGATGTAGGGTTAGCAAATGATTAGGTTTCTATATAAAGAAAGAGAATATGTTTTTTTGTTCTAATTTTAGTTGTGTTTTTTAATATTTATTAATAACATGCTTTGTGTTGCTTAATTATTGCAACTTTTAGATGTTAATTACCTTGTGAATTTTTGTTTCTATTCAAAATTTTCTGATAGGAAGTCCAAAAAGTGGTAAAGTATTGTCAAATGTTTAAATGCATATATACATCATAATTTGCTCCAAAAAATGTTCTCCAAAGACTAAAAAAAACCATACACACGTTGATGAAGCTAATTTGCATGTATGGTTATTGATGTTAAATAGGTAATTCACAAGATATTATTTAATTATGAGTTCAAACCAGTGATTTTGGAATTAATTATGTAAACTATTTTTTTTATATATAAAAATTTATGATTTAAAATGTTACACTTTGCAATTTTATTTTTTTAGAAACAATAACTATAAAAAATTAAAAACAACAACACTACTAATTAACAATGAATTAGACAAATTATTGTGTATTGGAAAAAAATATCATTGGACGAATATATATACAAGATATCACTATACATAACTAGTAATTAATCACAATACATAAACATTTGTATATAATATATATACAAGATATCACTGTATCCTACAAAAATAGCATTTATAACCTTATCAAATGCATACATTGATTGAGCTGCATGTTTAACCATATGGTTTTTTCTCCATCATTTATCAACTTCTAAAAGAAACGGGAAGTAAAAAAACACGTATAAATGTTCACATATACATAATCTAAAAAAGAATATATCTCTACTCACAATATATCTCTACTCACAAAGTGGTGGTGGAGGCTACGAAACGAACAAGATCAACTTTGGAGTGAGATGATAACAAGTATTCATAATCTAAAAAAGAAATCGGCAACGTACATTGCAAGGAAAACATCGGCAGGGGCGTGGTGCAACATAAAGAAGGCGATTCGTCAATTAGATGAGTTCAACATCGACCGGAAAACATTATTCAAGTTGACTCCCAGACGTGGTTCCAATATCCTTTTCTGGAAGGACATTTGGTGTGGTAATTCCCCTTTTCAAGATCGGTTCCCGAGCCTATACAAGAGAGAAAAGGTAAAATCTTGCAGGTTAAAGGAGAGACTGTCAGCCTCGGGATTCAAATGGAACTGGAAACAGGACCCAAACGACGGCGCGGCCTTAACTGAGCTTTGGCAGTTATATTTATGTATCGGCTCTATGGAGATCCCACCCCAATCCCCCTTCGATTTCAAGTTTATGATAAATTCGGATGGCTCTTATTCTGTAAACATCATGCGAAGATTCATAGATGCAAAGATCAACCCCCAACATGGTACACCTATTTTTTGGGACAAGATGGTACCATTGAAAGTTCGATGTTTTATATGGAGAGCTTCGTTCTCTAGAATTCCAGTAGCAATAATATTAGCTGAAAGAGGCGTCTTAATCCCCAACCAATTGTGCCAATTTTGTCACAATGAGCCTGAATCTGTGGACCATCTTTTCGTTAATTGTGAGTTTGCAAAAGGGACCCGGGAGTGGATCTTCAAATGGTGTGGCATCAAAACACAAGATTTTTCTCATATTAAGGAGGTCATTGACTTTGCAGCGGACTGGGGGAGCTGCCCAAAGAAGCGAATACTCTTTAACTCCACCTGTTTACTTTGGAACATCTGCAAGGCAAAAAACGACATAGTATTCAAGAAATTGAAAACACCTCACACAAAGGTGGCAGACATTATTATTTCTAGCTCCTACTTATGGTGCAAACACACAAGTAAGCTCGGATGTGGGAAATGGGCGGAGTGGAGTATATCACCATTTCTCTCTATGTAATTCTATTATGTAATTGTCTCTTTGAACTGATATATATGTAATTCTATTATGTAATTGTCTCTTTGAACTGATATACTTGTAATTTGCTTCTTAGCTTCTTGTTAAGTGGCCTTTTATTAATATAATTTTCGTTCGCTGCTTCAAAAAAAAAAAGAAAAATGGTCACATATAACTATAAAAAAACACCCTAATTCGCTAAAGAAAAAGAACAAGAATCTTGAATATAGGTTTTGTTCGAATAGGGCTACATATAGTTAAAATTTTGATTAGAAAAAGATTACTACTCTGACACTTTTATTCGATTAAGCTCTTTGAGAAGACCACATGTTCTTGAAATAGATATTCGTCATGTTTAATATTTTCGGCTAGTATTCCAAGGACATATTCATGTGTATAAGATGTATGAAGAAGCATTTAATATCGAAGAATCCGCAAACATGACAAGCGACTAATCATATAAAGAAATATAATTCCACAATGCATAGTTTACGTGGAATTTATTGAAACTTTATCATCTTTCCATTTTACGATACTTGACTTGATCGATCCACTATTAGTATTATATCTTTAAGCATCTGGATAGATGTATCGTGCCCTTAATTAACATTTAAAATAACTTTATTATACTTTTTTTTAAATAAATATTAGGAAAGGAAATTGAATATAAAAATACTTTTGAAAACATACTAAGCATCATCCCTATGTTTTAGGGGATTTTTCTTTAATATTTGATTATTATTTTTTACGAGATTTAATAATGACTCTATTTTCCAAAAAATTGAATATGCATGAATGGATTGAGATTTTTCAAGATCAAGATTTGAAAAATACTAAAATTAGTTTGAACTATAATTAAAATAATATATTAATAAAATATATGTATATATCCTTATATTAATAAAAAAAATAGTTTTAATCTTTTTTTGTCATATGTCACTCTAATACAATTCTTCATTAACATTATGCCACGTGTCGTGAGATATATTAGGCAAATCATTATCACAATTAATGACGTTAATGTTTTAAATAGTAGACTTTAAACTTTTATAGAAACATTACTTTTTGTAATTATATGTTAAATTTGAAGTTTTAACCAACTTTAAAATTTTTGTATATCTCTTAATTAATAATTTATTTAAAATAATTTATTAATAATTATGAGTTTTTTACTATAAAATTTTAATTAATTATGTAACCATGGTTTCCACGGGTTATTAACTAATTCAAAATAACAACACAAAATAGATATAAATAAAAAACGACATAATAAAATAAATAATAAGATGTATGTATGTAACTAACTTTCATATAAATTAAAACTCATTGTAGAATATTTATATAAATATTCATTACAACTTCAAATAATATTAACATAATAAGTAACATATATGTATTCATCATATGTATCACTACAAGAATAATCAACTTTAGTGGCAATGTCTTTAACGCCGACAACTACCTTCAGTGTTAGATGTCACCGCTAATTGTGGTTGTCGCCGTTAAAGGCATCTCCACTAATGGTCAAGGACCCCGATCTACGTTAAAAGCTAACTTTAAGCCATATCTATCAATCTAGTCCCTAATCCAACGATGGAAACGAATGTCGTGTACACTATTAGCAGTGACCTCAATAGCGGTGACATATGTCGCGTCCAATACTTGAATATCGTTGCACGATAGAATACTATATGAAATAGTAATAGCCTTAGGTATTTGTTAATTTGATTGGAACATCACTTAACTTTTAAGGGCTTATTTTGAAAGTACAATGCTATAATGCAAAAAATGAAAAAAAAAAGGTAGGATGCTATAATCACCATGACCTTAATTTGTAAAGTAAATGTTGTAATGCAAAGTATGAAAAATAAGCAGGATGCTATAATGGAAAACATGATCATGACCTTAATTTGTAAAGTAGAATGCTATAATGATCATGACCTTAATTTGTAAAGTAGATTGTTATATATAATGATCATGACCTTAATTTGTAAAGTAGAATGCTGTAACGCCCACACATTCGGGCTAGTCAATTTAGAGACAAGAAGCATCAAAAATGAGTTATTGATGGAATATTATTTATAAGGATTAATCTTAACCAAGTGGTAGTATATGTTACAAGGGTTCCGTACATATAAAGAACGCCGAAATCCGAGTTATAACGAAGATGTTATGGCTCGTCGAAGTTTTACGGCAAAACCGGCACGACACCGGGAGACGTCAATAGTGAATTTACGATAGAGGGCTTTTTGGCCTTAGTGATCTAAACAAAAGTTGTAGTATACGTTAAACCGAGAGCGTGCATAAAAAGAACGCCCAAATCTGACTTCGTATGAGGACGTTATGAATTTTCTAAGATTTGGCACAACAGTACACGGCCCGAAACTCGAATTTTAGATCGAGCGGTTTTTGGCCTACGCGACCTAAATGAGATTTGAAGATCTCATTAATAAGAAGTCAACGATAAAAATAAAGACGAAAACGGAGTCCGTATGAAAGAGTTACGAATTTTTCGCGGTCATTTAACAGTATAATCTCCTCCTACTGTTAAATTTAAGATCGGTCGAGAATTAGCCGACGGAGTCAAAATGAAAGTTGTAGATCCTATTTTTACCTACGTGTGGATATAAAGACCGTAAAAAACGGAGCTCGTATGCGAAAGTTACGGATTTTAGAAGTCGGAAGTGTGCTGTGCGAAAATGGGTGACGTGGCACAATCTTGGCCATTGCTTTCTCCCCAAGTCTTGCTACCAGATGGTGACATGTGGCACCAAGTTTAGCCATATTTCACCCTATAAGTAGAACCTCTCACACCCTCATTTTCTTCACACCTTTCCCATTCTTTCTTCTCTCTGCACTCTCTCTAAACCTCCCAAAAACTCCACTAGTGCTAGAAGAAAGCCCCAGAGCGCTCGACGGCTCCGAGAAGAAGAGCTTTCGGCTCGGAAGTTCTTCCCCTGCAGAGCACGGCTTCTAGCCAAACCCCTCGTAGGTAAGATACGTCTACCTAATTTTTAATATAGCTTTTATTTAAATATAGTAACGTTATTAGGACCTTATAATAATTATTTGAGCTATTATTATGGGTATTAAGTGTCGTTATAATATCTTTTTAACCACTCGCGGTACGGGGAACCGGTTTGAAGGGCCGTCTGGGTTGTTGGATTTCAGAAGTGCTATATGCCAAAATGATCCTGCCCTCCGGTGTTTTATG